TTCAAAAAGTCCTCAAAGGACTCATTATCAGGTGATTGGAAACCCTGAGATAAGATATGAATGAACTGCCCTGGCCAGTTTGGCTCAGTGGTTAGAGCGTCGGCCTGCGGTCCGGAGAGACCCGGGTTCGGTTCCCGCTAAGGGCACGTACTTCGGTTGCAGTTTGTCCCCGGCCCTGGTTGGTCGTGCGGGTGGCAGCCACTCGATGTGTCCCTTCACATCGATGTTTCTCTCTCTCTCTCCCTTCCTCTCTCTCCCTTCCACTCTATCTGTACAAAAAATGGAAAAATATCCTCGGGTGAGGATAAAAAAAAGATATGAATAAACTCTTCATAAACTATAGAACCTGGTACATATGTAAATCAATAATAATTCCTGCTGTCTTTGCCACACAAGATGGTTTAAATAAAAAAAAAAAGGTATTAACACACAACAAGACAAAATCTTTGGGATGCAGCAAAAGCAGTCCTGAAAGGGTAGTTCATAGCCATACAGGCCTACCTCAAGAAACAAGAAAAATCTCTAATAGACTACCTAACCTCAAAACTTAAAGAACAAGAAAGCAAACAAAAAGAAAAACACAGAGCAAGTACAAGAAAAGAAATAAAAAAGGTCAGAGCAGAAATAAATGATATAGAGACTTAAAAAAAAAATTCAAAAAATAAATGAAACAAAGAGCTGGTTCTTTGAAAAGATAAACAAGATTGATGGACCCTTAGCCAGACTCACTAAGAAACAAAGAGATAGGACCCAAACAAACAAAATTAGAAATGAAAGAGAAGAAGTAACGACTGACACCACAAAAATACAAAGGACTGTTAAAAAATAGTTTGAACAATTATATGCCAATAAATTGGACAATCTAGGCAAAATGGACAAATTTGTAGAATCACATAGTCTCCCAAAACTGAACCTGGAGGAGACAGAAAACTTGAACAGACCAATAACAACAATGGAAATTGAAGATGTAATCAAGAAACTCCCAGCAAACAAAAGCCCAGGCCTAGACAACTTCATGGGGGAGTTTTACCAAATATTCAAAGAAGAAATGACAATCATTCTCCTCAAACTATTCAAAAAAATTCAAGAAGAAGGAAGATTTCCAAACTTGTTTTATGAGGCCAGCATAATTCTAATTCTAAGACCAGATAAAGACGCTACAAAGAAAGAAAACTACAGGCCAATATCCCCAATGAACACAGATGCCAAAATCCTTAACAAAATACTAGCAAATCAGATCCAGCAATACATTGAAAAAATTATTCACCACAACCAAGTGGGATTCATCCCAGGGATGCAAGGTTGGTACAATATTAATAAATGTGATATACCACATAAACAAAATGAAAGATAAAAACCATTTGCTCATATCAATAGATGCTGAAAAAGCATTCGACAAAATACAGCATCCATTTTGGATAAAAATGCTCATCAATGTGGGAATAGAGGGATCATATCTCAACATAATAAAGGCCATATATGAAAAACCTACAGCTAACATCATACTCAATGGACAAAAACTAAAAGTATTTCCCTTAAGAACAGGAAGACAGGAATGCCCACCTTCACCACTCTTATTTAACATTGTACTGGAAGTCTTAGCCACAACAATTAGACATGAAGACAAAATAAAAGGGATCCAAATTGGAAAGGAGGAAATGAAACTGTCATCATTTGCAGATGACATGATATTGTACATAGAAAACCCTAAAGACTCCATTAAAAATTTACTTAATAAATGAATTTGGCAAAGTAGCAGGATACAAAATTAACATCCAGAAACGGACGGCTTTCTTACACAGCAATAATAAATTCACAGAAAGAGTAACTAAAAAAATCCCATTTATTGATGCATCAAGAAAATTAAGATACCTAGGAATAAACTTAACCAAAGAAGTAAAGGACCTATTTGCATAAAACTACAGGACACTGAAAAAAGAAATAGAGGAAGATATAAAAAAGTAGAAGCATATGCCTTATTCATGGATTGGAAGAATTAACATCATTAAAATGTCCATACTACCCAAAGTAATCTATAGATTCAATGCAATCCCCATTAAAATAGCAACAACATATTTCACAGAACTAGAACAAATACTCCAAAAGTTTATAGGAACCAAAAAGGATCCCAAATAGCCACAACAATCTTGAAAAAGAAGAACAAAGTAGGAGGGATCACAATACCGGATATCAGTTTAAACTACCAACCCATTGTAATCAAAACAGACAGGTACTGGCACAAAAACAGGCATATAGATCAATGAAACAGAACAGAAAATCCGGAAATTGACCCAAGACATTATGCTCATTTAATATTTGACAAAGGTGGCAAGAGCATACAATGGAGTAAAGACACCCTCTTTAATAAATAATGTTGGGAAAATTGGACAGCTACATGCAAAAAAAAATGAAACTAGACCACCAACCATACACAAGAATAAACTCAAAATAGATAAAAAACTTAAATGTGACTTGTGAATCCATAAAAATCCTAGAAGAAAGTGTAGGCAACAAAATTTCAGACATCACACACAGCAGAATTTTCCCTGTACAATGCCTAAGGCAAGAGAAACAAAACAAACAAAAAAATACATGAGACTACATCAAACTAAAATGTTTCTGCACAGCAAAAGAAACAAGCATCAAAATGGAAAGGGAACCTACTATATGGGAGAGCATAATGGCAATGATACATCAGATAAGGGGTTAATTTCCAAAATATGTAGAGTACTCATACAACTCAATAAAAGGAAGACAAAGAACCCAATTAAAAAAAAGGGTAGAAGATCTAAATAGACACCTCTCCAAATAGGACATACAAATGGCCAAGAGACATATGAAAAAAAATTCAACATCACTAAAACGACTATGAGGCATCACTTCACACCTGCCAGAAAGGCTGCCATCAACAAATCATCAAACAACAACTGCTGGCGAGGGTGTGGAGAAAAGGGGACTCTAGTACACTGCTGGTGGGAATGCAGACTGGTGCAGCCACTATAAAAAACAGTATGGTGTTTCCTCAAAAAATTGAACTGTCATTTTACCCAGTGATTCCACTTTTAGGAATATATCCTAAGAAGCCTGAAACACCAATCAGAAAAAATATATGTACCCCTGTGTTCATAGCAGCACTATTTACAATTGCTAAGATCTGGAAACAGCCCAGTGTCCATCAATAGATGAATGGATAAAAAAGCTGTGGTACATATACACAATGGAACACTATGCACCTGTAAGAAAGAAAGGTCTAGTATCCTTTGAGATGAAGTGGAGGGACCTGGAGAGTATTATGCTAAGGGAAATAAGCCAATCAGAGAAAGGCAAATACCACATGATCTCACTCATTTGTGGAATATGATGAACAAAATAAGCTGATGAAAAAATAGACCCAGAGACATAGGAAGGAGTATAGTTCAGACTGACAAACCTCAGAGGAGAGGGTGGGGGGGTGTTAGGAATGAAGAACTTATATGCATGTATGTGTAACCAATGGACATAGACAACAATCCTGTGGGTGGGGTGGGAGGATCCAGAGGAAGGTGTCAATGGGGGAAAAAGGAGAAACATCTGTAACAAAAAGAAATTAAATAAATGATTTTTTAAAAGTATTGTTTTGTGAAATCAGATCTGGAGTTATGGAAGCGGCTGTAAATCTCTTCTTGATATTCATCATCGCAGAAGTGGACTGGGTGGATAGAGGTTCTATAAGCTCTACAGCCCTGGAGGAAGGCACAGCTGGCTTGGAAAAGATTCTTTTCACTTTTTGCCTCTTTTAATAGCTCAGAACTTGGGCGGTGAGCTGTGAAGGTGCAGAACACCAAGGGGCTCTCTCTCTTCCTTCACTTAATCTAAGGCCTCTTCTATCAAGAGAGAGAGAGATCTGATAAAGAAAAGGATGCAGATTCCAGTCAAACCTTAAAAAGAAGGGCTGTTCTTCCTGAACCCCTGGATCTCTCCTGGCCCCAGCCCAGACACCCAGGACCCATGCACAGTGTTCTTTTGCAAGGACACTGCTTTCCTAGAGATCCCATTTCTTGAACCTCTCCTGACTTGATCCCCCATATCAAAGTGCATTGGTCCAGGGTTCTGTTCTTTTGGATCCCTAGTGTGGCAAATTAATATGATAAATTATACATATTTGAAGTGTTGAGATGGAACTCATTTAAAGCTAAATGTGGGAAGGTGGCAGGGTTTTCAAACATACAGGCATTTCAATAGCTCCCTTTATTCATTCAACAAATATTTGAATGCTTATGATGTGCGGGACATATTCTAAGAAGTAATATAGGGCTTTCAAACTTTAGTGAACTTCAGATCACTTGGAGGGCTTGTTAGACGACAAAGTTCTAAACCATAGATTCTGATTCAGGTCTGGGTTGGCCCTGAGAATTTGCATTTCTCAGCAGTTCCCGGGTAAGGCGGGTGCTGCTGGCCTGGGGGTCACACTCTGAGAAACGCTGGTATAGGTCAGGGCAGGTACCAAGTCCCTAACCTCGCAGGACGCACAGTCTAAGGTGGTTATGCCAAAGAGACTAAAGGTGGCGATTTCAGTCATCTTGGCACTTAGGTGGGGGAGACAGGCAGGAGGCATCCAAGCCCCATAAACTGCTGTCTGTGCCTGCCATCCCCAGAGTCATTTACAAACTGAAAAGTCAGATGTGTCGCGCCCCTCCCCGGAGCCCACCCAGGCTCCTCCTGTCAGGTTTGGGGCCGGTGAGCAGAGGGCGCGCCCTGCACGACTCGGGGTCCAGGGGGTAGTTCCCGGCCAGGCCTCTGCGGAGGAGAGCAGAGGAAGTCGCCCTCCCCCTCCGGCCCCGCCTGCGCTGGCTCTCCGCTTGCGTCCGGGGCGGTGGCGGCTGCGGCGCGGGGCGGGGCGCCGCGACCCCCGTCCCTCCAGGGCCGCCTCTGCCCCCTTGGTCGCAGACGCTGCCGCCTGTCTGGCTCGGCCTTGCGGCGCGGGGACCCGGCGGCTCCGCAGTCCCCGCCAGCCCGCGAGCCATGGCCCAGCCCGGCGGCGAGGAGGCTCTGCCCGGGCCCCAGACCGCGGTGCAAATCCGCGTCGCCATCCAGGAGGCCGAGGACGCGGAGGAGCTGGAGGACGAGGAGGAGGGCGCGGAGGCGCGGGGCGCGGGGGATCCCGCGCGGTATCTGAGCCCCGGCTGGGGCAGCGCCAGCGAGGAGGAGCCGAGCCGCGGGCACAGGTAGGCGCGGTGCGCCCCGGCCGAGACACGGCCGCCGGCCCGGCTCCCGGCGCACGGCCGTTCGGGCGGCAACTCAGCGGGCGGCGGACGGGGTTGAGTCAGCCCTGCCCGCGGGGATGCTGCACTGGACCATTGCACGGTGTCAGAACTGGCTTGTGACAGTCCTTGGTGCCACGGTCCGCGGCTCTGTAAGCCGACCACGGCTCCCTCCCAGGGCTGGCGGCAGGAACCAGAAGGGCCTGTCCGTGGGCATGCTCTGGGACCCAGGAGGAAGTCCTTCCTGGGCCCTCCTCTCCCAGTCCTCCCCAGGAGGAGCCTCTCCTTTCCTGAGCTCACCCAAAGACCCTCTGAAAAGCTCAGCCCAGCTCGGTCTTCACCCCAGAGGCTGCCCCCGCCCCCCTTCCCCAGTGGTTCCAGCAAGGCTTCAATGCCCAGTCTGCCCTGTCTGCTTATCGGTCCAAATGGCCTCCCTGACACTGGGTGTGGCAGCATAGCTGACACTTGCTGCTGTGGGATCCCAGGAGGGATGATTTCGTGGTGTAGCGAACTCTCTTGCCCTGATTTGGGATCAGTTCAGGGCTTGCGTCCTCCCTTGCTGGGGGATTCCCTTCTTCACACAGCCTCCCCCACCTGACTTCTATGCTTGCATCATCATCTTGCTGCTTTGGCATTAGGTTCCTGGGCGATGGGTAGCCTGGAGCTGGTATGGTATAGACCACCTGTCTAACCTTGCCTCTGGGCCCTGAGCTTCGTCATCAGCTGGAGATCTTAGTTGTGTCCAACTAATGCCCAGGACTTTCATGACTGGTTTTGTTTCTGTTGTTGAAAAGAGATATATATGGAATATCCATAGAAATGAGAACAGGGTAAAGGTAGAACCTGCAAATTCTGGGAAATGCCAATAGGCACTTAAGAGCCTCCTTCTGGGATCCTGCATATGCTGTTAGCTGTAGGGGCTCTGCAGGATTGTTCTGTGGTGGACATATATTTTCTTCATTGGGAGGATAGTCAACTCAAGGGCAAAGCCAAAGCCATTCCCCATCACTGACTGGCTGACTCTTTACTAGTTGAAAAAAAGTCTAGATTTAGGGACCCAGAGACTCTGGGTAGTTCAGTGGAGACAGAGATATTCGAGAAGAGTGCAGCCCAACAATTCAGAGCAGGAAAGCTGGGCCACAGCAGATGACACAGATGTATCAGCACTTTACATACTGTAAAATCTGATTCATTCATTCAGCTCTGCTGAATATCTAGAGTGTAAAAGCAATGCATCCATAGTCACTAGATCTCACAGTGTTGAGGAGAAGGCAGCCACCTAGTCAAGTAATTTCAGAGGTCATGTATAAAACCCCCAAGTGGTTTATCCTTCTGACATTTTTTGCTTGTGGTTGGCAAAAAGCTGTCCCCTATCCCAGGGCTAAGTTTTGAGACCATTAGCAGGGATTAAAGCCCTACATATGTCTTGGGCCCTGAAAGATCCCCTGTGAGATGGAGACGTGATCCTTAGTTCTGGTAGGCTTCTTGCCCTCACCCCGCACACCCTCCCTCCCGCCACCCTTCTCTCCCTGCTCCAGTGGCTTGAGTCTCATGGAGCATTCAGTCAGAAGCATTTCCTTCTGCCCACTGGCACAGAGTTGACCCCAGAAAATCTCTGGGGCTCTTCAAGGTAGTGTAGCCAACAGAACCCAACAGGCAGACATCCAGAGCACAAGGAGTTGCAACCAAGAACAGGATCCACACTTTCCCTCATTTGGGCCCAGCCAGGCTCAGGAGCAGCCTCCACCCTGAGAAAACACTTCTGGGCTCCCAGAGCCTGCGGGAGGCAGCCCAGGTTCCTGAATCTGCTCGGTGAGATGTGGCAGCCACCCCCATCATCTCCATCCATTGCTTCCTTTCCTGCCTGTCCTAACAATTCATGCTCCTGCCCACCTGATCTCCTCTAGGTCCCTGAGCACAGGGTGCAGTTTGTCTACATGCCTTTGTAGTCACACCTCTAGGTCCCTCTGGTTGATTTCCAGTCAGTCTGAAAACTTCACTGCCTTTTACCCACTACCCCTACCCCACCCCAAAACTAATGTGTTTCCTCTCCTTTGTGTTGCTGTAGCCCTCTGTCCATTTTATTCCTAGCACTTAGCCACAATTATAATTCTAGAGTTCTGTCTCTCTCAACAGGACATGAGCTCGGTGAATTCAGGGACCATGCTTGCCCTGCTCTCATTGTGTCCTCAGCAATTGGCATGTAGTGAGTGTTTTCTAAATATTTGTTGAATGAATGCATGTCTCTATCATCACACTCACTCCCTGGGGTTGACGTTTTTTGTGTTTCTCCTTCACTAGATGGTGAGATCTTTGAAGGCAGGGATCTTGACTGAGCCCTCTCCCTGTCTCCAGTACCTAGCCCGATACCTGGCTTATACCTGGGGACAAGGGATAAATGGAAAAAAGAAAAAATCTTTGTAACCTCCAAATGTTCATTAGTGTTCTCCTCACATCTTATTCACTAAAAAGGTTTCTTTCCTTTTATCATTACCTTTTAACAAAAATTTCAAACATAAAATGTGAAATAATAATACAGTTGTAAATATTTTGCCATATTTATTTGATGAACATAAAATGTGGATGGTTTTCCCTGAAGCATTTGAAAATATCTGGTACGTAAGACTTATACCCTGTGTACTTCATTTTGTAGCTCTTAATAATGGCATCCCCCTATAAAGCCATACTACTATTATTGCAATGAAGAAAATTAACAATTCCCTAATGTAATTTCTAAAATAATCTAATAGTCAAGTTCCATATTCAAGATTCCCTAAATTGCCCCATATTGTGTTGTACAGCTGTTACTTTTCCCCTTCAGCCAGAATCCAATCCAGGTTGAGGTATTTGCTTATTATGTCTCTTTATAATCTTTTCATCTAGAACATTACTACTTTTTTTTTTTTTTTTTATACTTTACTATTTTGGAACTAAGAGGCCAGATGTCTTGTTGAATTTTCACATTTTGAATTGGTCTGGTTTAACTTGCTCCTTTGTGCCATGTATTTCCTGTAAACTGGAAGTTAGGGCTAAAGGCCTGATTAGATTCAAATTAAACATTTTGGCAAGAACACTTCATAGGCAATGCCATGGATTTTTCATTGCATCACCTTAGGCAGCATCCACCATTAATGATGTTAAATTTGACCTCTTGGTTAAGGTGGTCCCTCTATTACAATGAGCAAGTAATAAGTGGGATTCTTGTGAATATTCTTTCACCAATGACTTTCTCCTCATGGTTTTAGCATTTATTGATGATCCTTGCTTGAGTCAGTTTATTGGGGATTACACATTGGTGATTTTCTAAGTTTATTCTTTGTAGTACATTCTTTGTACATTCATCACCTGGATTGAACAAGTGTTCCTCCTAAAGAGGCAAGCAGAAGTTGTTGATTATTTCCCCTTTCTTTGAGTACTTCCTTTCTCTCTGATACTAGGCATTCTAGGCTTAATTTGTAGGGTTCCTATTCCAGTCACAGGATCTAACCATTTCCATAGGAATCCCTAGTTTTTAAAATATTAGTAGGAAGGTATTTAAAAACCAAGACTTGGAATTAAGATTACTAGTTTATAATGGGGCATCATTGCTGTTAGGACCTTCAGTGGACAGCACTAGGAATTTTTTTTTTAATTATGTTGCTTATTATAATTCAAATGTAATATTACAGGGTCTTGCTTTACTTCTTTTCATTTTTACACTGGAAATCTTGATTTCTAATAATATTAACCTATTTACTTATTTGCTTCGTCTTACAAAGTATAAAATTATTTAAAATTATACTACAAAATATTAGTACAAATAATAAACCGCTGAGCACACCTGCTTTTCATATAGCAAACAGAAACATCTAGGTTTCTTTCTATCCATGATGTTTAGGGCTCAAGCTCTCATTTCCCTGCTTTGGATGGTGATAATGAAAGCCTCTATTTATCAATGCCAGTTTGTACCAGACATGAAGCTAAGGACTTTGTATACCTTATCTCTGCTCCACATCACCGACCATTATTTAGATCTGCAGAACATCCACTTGTTGTACTCTTTCTTCCCAGGCACTAAGAAACGCCTCTGAACATTGTGTCAGCGGACAGGTCATGATCTCTAATGAATATATAAGAACTCGTGGCCACACAAATGCAGGATATGGCCTCTGCTGGTGACATCCAAGATGCAGTTCTCAAAGTACCTTTGCCAAAGCTGGACGTATTTGTGTATTTTCAGTCTGTCTCTGTGAAGAACCTTTATCTTTTGATTCATCCCTCATGTGTTTATATTGCATCATCAATTTGGTTGCCTTTTTGAACCTTTTCAGATTCATTATTTTCGTCTAGAGGAAAGGCAAAAGAAATTTCACACACATGGAACTGGACCCTAGTGTTTTTTATAAGCGATGTTTTCTCAATGTCCATCTTGTTGCTGTCCAGAATTTCCTGGTCTTGGTGACCAGAGTACCATCAGACCATCTGCAAGGATAGATGAGTCCAGGACATCCTTCCTGTGTTGAAAGTCACAGTGAGGAGCTCATTACCCCACCATTTTCTTCTGTAAGCTACCATTTGATTAACCACTCAATTAACATATCCAAGTTAGCTTGAGATTTTATGAGAAAAGCCTTGGAGATTTTATGTTACACTTTTTCTCCAAATTATTTACAAATATGATAAATATTTCAACACTGGCCTATGGAGCCCAGTCATCTGTTCTGAACTACGCTCCCTTACTTCTACCCTGTTTCCATTTCCAGCATGGTTATAGCTGTAACAAAGGAACACATCACCACTCCCAATGTCCAGTGCTTTATTTAAAATGAAACCATAATGTAAATGTAAAACTTGAATGCAAAAATCTTTTTCAAAGTTCTTTTTAAAGGCCACTAACAAGATATTCACCAGAAACCATACTTTCTATTTCAAAGAATCCTCACAGGCTTGATCTGCCCTTATAAAAATGGTTCACTTTAGCCCTG